AAAAAATATATATATATTTTATATATATTTTGACATGATTCTTCACTTTGTGCCTTTTTCCATCTCAGCTGTAATCCTCATGGGCTTCCCATCACCATTTTACCTGTGTGCCATCACCACAGTCCAGTGCACTCTTCCCACCCCAGTTTTGATCACATTCTCCCTTCCACCCCATAAAATGTCTCTGGTTTATAGGAGGTCTACTTCTTATACCTAAAGCTTCATGAAAAAAAATCTAAGATATTTGCTGAAAGTCCTGTTGTGTTCATTGCATCCTTCTGTTCATCAATTCAGGCAAAACTTTTCCCAAACTTGTATGGCTAGTTAGTGTGGTGTGTGTGTGAGTGTGTGTGTTTGCCTGTGGTTATGAAGGTTCAATGAGACAACTCAGGAGTGCTGGCTGCTGCATGTTTTCTTAGTGTTTGCGCTAACATAGCTATCACATCTTTCATGGGTCAGTGGGTTGGACAGGGAGGTAAGAAGGACCTTAGCTCATCTACACACGTTTGGGTTTTTTTTTTTTTAATAGTCCCTTTTCATTGTTATTTTTTTATCTTTTCTGTAATTCTGAGGTTTTGAAATATGAATAGCTAGAAATTAATAATCTCGAAGTGTCATCATTTTACATATCTGTCCCTGTAAGAAAAGATTATGTTGGTCAAAAACTATTATTGGCTATTTTCCTTTAAATGTAAGAGCCGCCTACAGGAGGCAAGTGACTGAAGCCCGATTGATAGCTTCCATTAGCGCTTTGCACTTTACTTTCATTCTAGTCATTTTTGACATAAGCATTAATTTCATTTTTCTGAATCCTGTACAATCTAGTCAGTGACAATTTGTCAACGAGTTACAATGTAAGGCAGAAGATCCTCTGACTATACCAAGATGAAAACAGTTTCCACAAATGTTTTTGGGTTTATTTTATTTGGTTTTATTGATTCTTGTAGAATCAGTAATAATAGTGCTGAACAGCCATAAACAAAACCAGAACTCTCGGTCTTTTTTTAAAAACTTGATGTATATTTATTCTAAGTACATGTTATTATCACCAGAGGGTATATGCCTTTTTAATCATGTACAACAGGTTAACTAATCACTGGTAAACAGATTTGATAGTAAAAGATTATGATAAACTATCTGGGATACAAAAACCAAACCTAGAATAAAATAGAATTCTGGAACAGGAAATATAAAAATGACTAATGCTCATGTCTCTTTAATAACTTTTGTCAGACTTTCACAGGAGACTGTTCTCTTTTCCTGACAGGAGTTGATTAGGACTACTAACTGATTTTACTACTCTTGATATTATGTCAACTAAAGGGATAAATTGTGTTCTTGTATAAATACAGATTGACTTTTATTTATAGAGAGGAGAATCAGTATCATCAGTATTCATATGATCTATTTAGATTTGTCATATGGTATTTATAATAAAACCATAGGCATGACCTCA